AAGATGTCATCAATGAAAACTATCACGGACCGATCCATCATCGGTCTACACACGCGGTTCATGAGGTCCATGAACGCGGCAGGAGCGTTGGTGAGCCCGAAAGGCATCACCACGAACTCATAGTGGCCATAACGCGTCCGAAACATAGTCTTCTACACATCCTCCTCTCTGACCCTCATCTGATGACACCCTGAACGCAAATCAATCTTGGAGAACCAAGATGCTCCCTGTAGTTGGTCAAAGAGGTCATCAATCCTCGGGAGTGGGTAACGGTTCTTCACCGTTACCTTATTCAGCTCCCTATAATCTATACACATCCGATGCGACCCGTCCTTCTTTTTCACGAACAGAATCGGGGCTCCCCAGGTTGAACTGCTCAGTCTAATGAACCCCTTGTCTAACAGCTCCTGCAGCTGCATAGACAACTCATGCATCTCGGGAGGAGCCAACCGATACGGTGCCCTGGCTATCGGAGCCACACCAGGGACTAGGTCGATCCTGGACTCCACCTGCCGCTCCGGAGGTATCCCAGGAAGCTCCTCTGGGAACACATCTACGTAGTCCCGCACCACTGGAACATCGCTCACCATCGCCTTACCCGCCTCCCGGGTATCCATAACATAGGCGACATACCCAACACAACCCTGCTGAAGGTAGCGCCTAGCCCTCGCTGCAGAACATAATGTGGGTCCACGCTGTGGCCTCTCGTCGTGGATCACCAACTCTCCCCCACTTGGGGTCCTGACTCGCACTAACTGCTGTGTGCAGTCTATCACCGCCCCATTAGGGCTCAACCAATCCATGCCTATAATCACCTTGTTCCCACGCAGCGGAATGGGAACCAAGTCTACCAGGTAGCGCTCCTCGAATAGCCTCAGAACACAATCTCTGAAAACCGTCGATGCTCGCACCGATCGGTCGTCCGTAATCTCAACCTCTAGTGGGCAATCCAACATACCCGAGGACTCAGGAAACCTCTTGCTAAGCGCAAGAGAAACAAACGATCGGGTAGCGCCCGAATCAAACAACACCTGAACTGGGATACCGTTCACATGGAACGATCCTAAACGAAACATATCATATGCCACATCAATATCATAAGCAACATAAAATAAAGTTAGGGAGAAGAAATCATACCCGTCACCACATAGGGTGCGGCGCATGCCTCCTCGGCAGTCAATTGGAAGGCCCGACTCCTCACCACTGGATCCCCGGTCTTGCCCTGCCGGCCATCCGTAATCCGCAGGGTCGCTGGGATGAAGCTCCACCGCAGGTGCGAACTCAGCCCTGAACCGGGTCACAAAATCTGGCCATGTCATAGCCTCAACAGCCGAGGCTCCCAGAGAGTCAGCAACCGACTCCCACCAATCTCTGGCCCTGTCTCTCAAACACCCTGCTGCATATCTCACCTTCGACCCCTCGGGGCAGAAGCTAGTCAACTGTGCAGACTCAATGTCTGTAATCCATCGCCTGGCTGCAATTGGGTCCTTCTCCCCATGGAAATCCGACGCACCACTGCCCCTGAAGTCCTTAAAGGACAGTGTGCGTGATCCTGACTGGCTGTTCGCCATGTCGCTCCTGAACGCCCTAAGGCGATCCTCCATCAGCTCAATGATCCCCTCCTTGATCGACCCAAAGATGACCGGGGTCGCATCAAGGATGCCTCTAGTGATCTCGGACGCAATGAACTCGTGTAGCCTCTCATCCACTGGTTCGGAACCTGAGCCTGAACCCGATCCCTCTTCTGAGCTGCCAACTGCTGGCCTCGGACGTAGTACCACCATTCTGCAATACATAATGACAACCGTCAGTGATACTGATACATCTAGATGGATCACATCCATCACAAGTTCCCTGGTCTTGCCTCAGCCTTCCTCGATTCAAGTACGGATCCTCTGCTTTCAGTAGTACGGGCCCATACTACCTTCCACATCTATCCGTACTTTCCTCAAGAACCGCCTCGACTTCACCAAGTCCCTTCTACTACTACTGATCTCTGCTATTCTCATCCTAGGCTCGCCCTAGGGTACCTCTGACTCCACCATAACCAGTCCTCAACTGCTGAAGGCCTCTTTGTAATGACAATTAGCCGTTACCTGAATACAATCACCTGTGACGAGGCTCGGATAATCCTTCGGGTAAGGGACCCGTCCCTACAACGGTTAGACTCAAACGAGAGCTGCGAAATAGGGTCAAATCCAATCCTCTAAGATTATCCAACCCTGATCGCATGTGACTTTAACGTATTCACCTAATAGCTAATTCCCATCACTCAGAGTCCCACAAAGCACAAAGCAAGCAACATTCAGACAAAAGGAAAACGACCTCAAGCAATCATATCCTCATAACAGGAAACTGTACTAACATACAGTGCTAAGCTTATATTATCAGGCATAACCTAAACAGGCTATCCTACTGCTGTCTACTTAATACTAGCACGCAATTCTCATAAGCTGAAACACATAAAGCAGGCACATAAGGCATCATTCCTAGATCCTTAGTCCTATTCTAGCATGCTGTTCTACTGAAGCTGATAAACATAACATAAACTTGTATCGGTACTTTGGGGATACTTACTTGAGCTCGGCCGGTCGCGCACATCACACACTTCGTTCTTTCTGAAAACTCCTTTAACTTATCTTTTAGAAAGCCATTTTCTTGTAAAAGCTTTTAATCCCTCGATTTGAGTCCGGACACCCCCGAGGGTGTGTCCGAATCCCTCAAACCAGGGCTCTGATACCAACTTGTAACATCCCAAATTTTGAGTCCAAAAATTTCATTTTAATTAACTGAGTATAAAACATTCATAAGAAAACTACGTGAAAATATATCGTTTCGTAAATCAACATAACATGTCTGAAAACCCAAATCATAAAGTAACAACATGTCAGAGTACAATCCCAGAATATCTCAAGTGCGGAAAATCAATGCGTGTGTGTATGATGTGCTGCTACCGTGCCAGCTCCTTCCCCTTTGATGAAGAGGTACCTGAAACAAAAACTGTAAACTGTAAGCACGAAGCTTAGTGAGTTCCCCCATCGTGCCTCATACCATACAATCACATAGCATACACACTGTAGGGAAATTCTGGGGTGCCCGACCTACCCGGTACGGCCATTCTGGGGTGCCGACCTACCCGGTACGGCCATTCTGGGGTGCCGACCTACCCGTGTCAAGCCATTCTGGGGTGCTGACCTACCCATCGGTCCTAACAACCGAACCTCGGGGACTATTCCACCCCTTACTGCTACTGTCACCTATATCATAACATGAACATACTATCATACATATTTGGGGTGTCCGAACTACCCTTAGGTCCTAACAACCGAACTTGGGGACTATTCCCCTCCTACTGCCACTATCACATATAACATATCATGCCAACATATAAACATATCATAACATATTGTCAGACATATCTGGGGTGTCCGACCTACCCTTCGGTCCTAACAACCGAACTTGGGGACTATTCTCCCCCTACTACCACTATCACATATAACATATCATGCCAGCATATAACATATCAGGTAGTAGCAAACCTAGATGAATATCACAAAGACAATCATCTAACATACAACTCCTACTGGTGGGCCGGCATTGTGGTCGTAGACCCACCGCTACTGAAAGGTAACTCACCTTGAACGAAGCTGCTGATAATCTGGGTGGGGAAAATCTCTGTCTGCTGCTGCTCCGGAAATCCTCCGGCTATAATCCCCACAAAAAACTTAGTCAGAGTCTGATATCTATTCTCAGGGTAAAATGACCATTTTACCCCTGACCAAGTCCAAGACAAAGTCAAAGTCAACTTCCAGTTGACCCGACTCACCGAGTTGGGCTGCCAACTCGTCGAGTCGCTATCCTTTCATCTGCCCTTCTTCACGCCTCTACTCGTCGAGTTTGGAAACGAATCGACGAGTTCTCCTTCTAGAACAACCCCGGATGAACCTTCATCCGACTCGCCGAGTTGTATGAAGAACTCGTCGAGTTCATCCTCAAGAGTTGGGAAGATTGCCTTGGACTCGCCGAGTCTGTTCATTTACTCGCCGAGTCCTATGAACTCCAGGACTATGGCTTATCCCAATATGTTGGGGTCACTCCTTCGGACCCTCTAGAACCTTTCCAGCACTCCACTGGGTCTCCTTGTCCCATAACAGAAAAGGGGAGTCTAACCTCGGACTCGCCGAGTCCCAAGAACGACTCGCCGAGTCGATACAATCCAAGTCTTATTTCTTCGATTTCTGGTGTACAACTCTTGTCCGAATGATAGATCTAGGTCCCTAAACTCTATCTAGCACGTAAAGTTACGAACTTTACGTGCATGCATGGGACTTTGAGTCTAAAAGGCTCTAAAAGAGACTCTTGGGTTGCATGGGGGCTTCCATGGGTGCAAAAGCAGCCCCTTTCTGCCTTGTAGTTCCTCCATGGACCTAGATCTGAAGCCTCAACCCCCGACCATGCTTGCAATCATGGTTGGTTACCAAGAATGGCTTATAAAAGCCCTAAATCTCCCCAAAAAGGGATCTAGCAAAAGAACAAGCAAGGTATCGACTTTATACCTTCTGTGAACTGCAAATGGTGCACAAACTTGAACTCCCTTGGTCTCCTCTTGATTCCTCTAGGCTTTTCCTTCTCCTTTGAGTTCAAAGTCACCAAAAAGCACCACAAATGCCTTAGCTCTTTATACAAACGGCTAGGGTTTGCTATGGGGGTTTTCTGGAAGCAATAGGGACGAAGGGTGGCTGAATGAGATGTTTAAATAGGGTGCAAACCCTTAGATTAGGGTTTTGTCCAGTCAGAGCCTACTCGTCGAGTCTGAAGCCGACTCGACGAGTCCGTCATTTAAATCCCCGATCAAATCCTTTTCTACTCGACGAGTTAGTCCTTCAACTCGCCGAGTCCCAGGCCAAAAATGCAAAATACTTAAATAAAATACATACCACGAACCAGGTGCTACACTATTTTAACAATGTTTTTTTAATTGCAGAGCAATCTCGTCAAACATGGATAGAATATCAAACCTCCACTTTGGTTCACCAGGAAATTCACTTGAAATACGTGTCTTGCGAAAATGGACACTACAATTCAGAAAGGACGAGACATGGTTTATCGTGATTGATGAGCATGTAAGGATTTATATATATATATATATATATATATATATATATATATATATATAATTCACTCTTGTACAAAGTAATTCATATATAAAACACCCTAACACATTTATTTGACCAGGGAGATACAATTCAGCTACTTGCACAAAAGACAAATCAAGGATCCATAGAAACTTCATTACTACTCTCTCGATGTTATCGTATTAAGGACTATACATGCACTGAGCCAGACAAATATCAAAAGGTCTTAGATCACCCAGTACACATGAATATTGGTGAAGAATCAACAATTGAGGAAATTCCAAACCGCAATGCACTTCCACTAACATGGTTCCGCTTCAGTCCAAGATCACACTTTCAAATGATAGCAGACAAAAACTTGGAGCATCCAGGTACATTTATAACATCAACCCAAACATCATTACTTTAATGCAAAAAATTTGTTATACTCTAATTTGTCACTAATATTACGCTTACAATTACATTCAGATTTCATAGGCGTACTCATCAACATGAAAGATCGCGGAAAAAAAAACAAGGAACCTTTCATGGTTATGACTTTAACAGATGAAAATTAGGTACATATTCTTCATAACAAAACATATTACCTACTATATTTCCTTTAATTATTATTAATGACAAAACCGGTTCAAGTGCGGAGGAGATTACCATACTCTTATGGAAGGAATGCATAGATTCGCCAGACAAATTCAATCGAAATGCCCTTACATCAAACTCTAACACGGTGGTACTAGCTTTCACCAATGTCAAGTCCATTATGTACAATGGTAAGTAATAACAAAGACCCTTATTATAATACTCACTTCACACTATACTAAAATACCATCTTACTACACAGGAAAATTAACATTGACAAGCACCAGCGCAACACACATGTACGTCAATCCCAAAATACCAGAAACGGACACACTCATTACAAGGTATGTTATACTGCTTCTACCAAATCTTAACCATACTTAACCAAACTATAAACTACATAATATACAACATTTATTCACTAACAAGTTTCCATTAATACAGATTTGGTACCCAATTTCACTCAAAATCATCATCAACTGTGATAAATACTACATTACAACGCTTAAAGAGCTCAGATTTCTCTCAAATAGTGGTAAAAAAATTTCTTTTGTATAATACTACTATTTCATACATAACAATCACTAACATACATCTATAACATGTTCAAGGACAATGTATATGTTTTAAAGACCATACTATCTGATTTCACATTCAAAGATGTATGGTACCACGTTACATGTACCACATGTGGTAAATCAACACACAAAAAAGGTGATGGATGGTTTTCTGTTTCCCATGGGCCCATAAATGAACCAAAACTTTTGTAAGTACTCCCTCTCCCATGTATACCTTATATATCTATAAAAATCACACATAACATCACTTCTCTTTTCACAGATATAAAATCTCAGCAGTACTCACAGACAATACAGATACCACAACAGTTTTCATGTCTAAATGAAGCAACCTGTACTTTTCTAAATGCGACTGCACAAGAAATCATAGACCGCTTTCCCAGTCAAGATAGAAAAACTTTACCTGAACCACTCGAACGTTGTAAAGGGTTGACAAAGAATGTCTATGTAGAATGCACAAAACTTTCTTCCACTAGAAATATCCGTTTCACAGTCACCACAATTAGTGACATAAAAACACCACAACCAACAATCTTATCAACACAAAAAACACAAACTACACCTTCAACACCAATGGAACAACAAACCACAACAACTATGGAGTCCCTCACCCCTACTAAATCACGTGAAACTGGAAAACGACTCCAAATGGAACATACAGGTAAAAACAACTTATAGCAGTTTATTTATTGCATACACGTAATTAACATCTTACATTTCACAGACACACCAAAAAAACCACGTCCCAAACAAGAGAAATACATAAACCACGGCGAAGCAGACGAAGGAACACATGCCAAAAAGCAATGAAACTATTTGATCTTTTCATAACATACTTAGACTACATTCAACACATTATGTTCATATTATAGACTACATTCAACACATTATGTTTATAAACAATAATCTGTAAATATTCAATAAAACTATGTCATATTCAGACAAAAAAATTCCAAACACTTGTAATCTTTTATTGTTTCTATAGATTTGTTTGATATCTAATGACATTTACTTTTCAATTTGTAGTTTTTAGTGTGTTTATTGTTCATGTTTATAGTCGTGTGTGTGAGAAGTGTTGGTATCTATTGAACCATTTTTGTTCGTGTTGTACAAAATAGAAGTTTGTTTTACGTTGCAAAAGCAATACCTTTACGACATCCTTCGATTTTGAATCCATTCAAGATTTCACGTCATAAACAATGTTATTTCGCGTTTTAAAGATTTGCATGGGTAACTTTTTTTTCTTCAACTATATATATCTATCATAACCAACATAACTAACAATAGTAAACTTCATGACTATTAAAATTTCACCATATAACTCAATAAATATTCACCATTTATATTTTGAATAATGTCTTTTAACTCTGCGGTTTGACGTTTCAGACAATTTCTCGTCCAAAGTCAGAATTTCAATTTTCGTCATCAACACCCAATAGTGCTCTATTACTACTACCAAACGTCCGCCAATAACGTGACCCGTGGTTCGCCACGGGTTCACACACTAGTTACAAATAGATTCTTAAAGAATATATCATAAAAGGTTGTGTATACACTTAAAAAATGTTGTATATATTTTTGTGTGTTATCAAATACATTCTTATTCTTTAAGAATGTTAAATCTAGAAATATATTTTGAATGAAATCGTATTTTTTAAGAATTAAAAAAAATATATATGAAAGTGATCTGGAAAACATATTTGAACGTGTTAAAGTCGTATTCTAAAAAAAAATCTAATATGTTATACATATATATACGTGTATTTTTTATATGATTCATATTAACATATCTTATATATCTAGAGAATTAAAGTTGATTTTAATAACTAAATATATTTTTTTAATTAAGATAATTATGTTTTCCTTAATTCACTCAACTTCCTAATTGAGAATTAATCATAATGGAAATTATGCCAATATATTATTATTTCTGATTTTTTTCTTAAATGGAAATGTTTATGCGTGTTGTTTTCCATTGTAACTATGATATAGCATATAATTTTAGCCATATATAGATCTAATCTAGTGGTCGAAAACTTGTCATACACTCACATAATATATACCATTCACATTTAATCCTAACCCTATATATATATATATATATATATATATATATATATATATATATATAGTTCAATAGATAACTATTATTAACAAAGAATCAATGAACCAATCGTTATCATCGAAATTTAAAGTGATCAACCGCTAAGGAAATGGATGTACACTTGTACAGTGGACGCACATAGATCAGATTATACCATAAAACTCACTTTTTTACCAAAAAAAACCCACTTTTTTTTTTTCGTTTAAAATTGTTTTTAATCCACATTCGAATATACCGTTGTTCTTTCCCTAGAGATCTACGTTGATATATAAAAAACAAACTTTTTTTTTTGAAAAAAACTCACTTCGTTTTTTTGTTTTTTTTTTCAATATTTAAGTTTATTTTTGTAAGAAAAAATAAAAAAGTATAAAGAAAAACCAATTATACCAAAAATCTCAATTTTTTGTCCTATATTAATAAACATCATCAACGATTAAAAAAAACTCGTTTAGTTCAGATTCACATTGTGAATCTAAACTGTAAATATTTCAATTTTAACATCTGACTTACTATTATTTACATTGTGAATTTACTCAGATTCACAATATGAATCTGGGAAGATTCACATTGTGATGTACTGAAATTTCGTTTATTTTTTTATATTTTTTTATATCAATATTAATCTATGTTTAAAGAGGACATAAAATATGAATTGTTATATATTTAATAAAAATTTTCAATAAAAAATAGGTCTTAACTTTTCAAAAAACAAATAATGAATTGGTCATTTTTTGTATATCAATATGGATCTTTATGGAAAGATGACGACAAATCATTGACAATGGTATATTCGGGTTTTTTTTCGATAAAAAAATGGCCTAAAAATTTTAAATGAAAAAACAATGGATTTTGTTATAATCCGGTGTATCTATGTCCATTATAAAGGTCTACAACCATTCCTTTTGTCATTGATCGTTTTAAATTTCAACACTTTAGATTGGCTTAAAAAAATGAATATATAAAAATTTACAAATTATTACTGTCTATAATATCGATATAATAATAAGATTTACATTACATTTATAATAAAACAAATTAATTTTTCTCAATGAACCTTGAAATGCATGTTTTATTCGCATTTGAATAAAAAGGTATGAATCTTATAAACCATATATTCATACGTTGTTAATATAAATTACAAGATATGATGTAAAATAATAAAAATAAATTATATATATATATATAATATATATATATATATATATATATATATATATTTTATATATATATATATAGGGAAGAGTATTTGGAAAACAAAAAAACCTTAAAAATCATAAAAATGCATAAAAAAAAATACTTAGAGATCACAAAACTTTTTTTCGAAAATTTTTTAGAAAAAATCGCAGCTTTTTATACAAAATCGGTGAAAAAAATTTTGAAAAAAAAAAATTGATTTTTTATTTTTTTTTCAGCGAATTTCAACAAAAACCTGCGATTTTTTATAGAAAAAATTTAAAATATTTTTTTGATCTCTAAGTATTTTTTTATGGCATTTTTAGGATTTTTTAGGGTTTTTTAGGGTTTTTTTTTTTTTCATAGAACCTAAACCTATATATATATATATAATATATATATATATATATATATATATATATATATATATATATATATATATATATATATATATATATATATATATATTAGAGGTTAATAGGTTATCCATATAGACACTAAATAAAAACGTTAATACGGTAAATTTCCATTTACTTTCCATGTTTATAGATATACTAAACCCTTCAACATAGTTAAGCTATTACTAACTCATAATATTTTTTCTATTATAGTTATAGTAAAATTATATATATATAGATATATATATATATATATTATATATATATATATATATAATATATATATATATATATATATATATATAAAAGTTCAATTGAGAAAAAATAGAAAATGTTGAGAATTGGGGAATCATTCACAGCCACTCATTTAATCTAAGCATAAAAACACACGGTGGCAAACTTGTAAATATGTTAATAACCTTCAATCTCAAATACGTAACTAAAAAGAATTCGATAACAGTTCGTTCATCATCAAATTTTCTCCTCCAACCTTCAACAATCATCCAGATTTCTTCAACTAAACCATCATCAATGTCATCCAGTGTTAATCAATCATCGATATTCGTGGTTGGGAGGTTCGCCGTTCAATACAGATTCGTAACCCAAATTCATCAATTTCATTGATTTCTTTGTTGAATACTCCGAATGTTCGTAGCTTGCAAGCATTTGTTAAAGTTCATAACGGATTTGGAACTGGAATTTCCCAGATTCGCAAACGAACTCAGTTGGAATCGGAGTTCTGGACTCGCAGTCACAGTCGACATTGAAGGACTCGGAATCGGTACTCACAGGTTCCCAATCGGATTTTCAGAAATCAAAATCAAAATGAGAAATCGATCAGACATAGGATGTCGCATCTGAAGTCGAAATCGGAAGTATATGACGATTTGGAATTGATAACTTGAATCGGAAGTATCATGTTTTTAACATAGTTAACTTGTATGCACTCCAACTGTTTGATGAAATGCATAAACTAACTTAGCACGTTATATTCACATATAAATATGTTTTCTCACCTGAATCAGTATATGATGATTAAAAAACACAAAACAAATATGCAAGTATGTATGTTATTCATATGTGAATAACATATAAAAATTATATATATTTGTGAAAATACCTTCTAATATTCATAAGTGAATATATTCATAAGTGAATATACCTTGTAATATTCATATGTGAATATAATGTGTAATATTCATAAGTGAATATATCATCCAATGTTCACAAGTGAATACACTTTGTAATATTCATATGTGATATACCATGTAATACTATGTAATATTCACATATGAAAATATCATTTAATATTCATCAGTGAATATACCATCTAATATTCACAAGTGAATATAGTATGTTAATATTCACAAGTGAATGAATCGTCTAATATTTAAATATGAATATATTATGTTTATTATATGTTATATTCATATATGAATGATACTTAAATTGTAAAAAAAATTAATCATACTTTTTATTCATAAGTGAATAACGAATGTACTGTAATAAAACCTAATGCATTTTTATTCACTTATGAATAACAATAGCTGAAAATATAAAAACAATAAATTTTTTATTTTATCTTAAAACTATATTAATATGGATGTATATTTGTAGAGAATAAAAAATCATGAATTTTGGTATATTTAAAATCATTTTTCGATAAAAATAGCTTCTTAAAAATTAAAAAAAAACGAAAAAAACTATGTTTTTGTATATATTAAGGTAATGATTAGCATAGTTTAAGGAAATATGTTTTGTTGGAAAACACATGTCTATTCATTTCTCATTTCCGCTGGTACGACGGAGACTTTTGCGGCAAAAATAAATGAGTGGCCGAGAATGATTCCCCCATTCTCAACCTTTTTTTTCTCAATTGAACCCTCATATATATATATATATATATATATATATATATATATATATATATAATGATATGTGAATCAAGGTATTTTTCGAATATATAACCAAATTTTGACCATTAGATTAAAAAAGAAAAGGATGTGATCTTAAGGTGCATGTTATTTACATGGACTAGCAATTAGTATATAATTACTTTAATTAATTATAGAGGCAATTATGACATTTTATTAAGATAGAGAAACAAAAAATTACCTATATATTAGACAACTAAG